TGGCCCCCTTTCTTTGGATATATTCCCGCTTCAGGTCAAGACCCCTGTTTCATTTTCCACACCAGGCTCTGAATAGTTTCCAGATGTTTGTTGCCAGCTTCAGACATCTGTACCACTTCATTGTAGCATCACGCACAGAGAGTCTGTTCTATCAGTGAAATAGTTTGCTTAACCTGTTTACACAGGATTAGTTAATGAGATAATCCATCTCATGGACATTTAATCAGATATTGTATGACCTTTGTCATAACTTGTTCCATTCTGAAATACACATTATTAAGGGGATATTAGATGTCAGACTGAAATAATGCTCTGCATAATGATAAAGTAATATGGTATTGTTTGCTGGCCTAAATGAACTCTATTGTTTGGACGATTTTAGAGTTTTTATGTTACTGCCAAGCCCAAATAAGCCATTGTTAGGTCCACTTTATGCAAAACAGTAAATCCTGCTTCTGATCCCTGTGGGTATCTTTATTGCTCATCATTGTAGCCTACAGAAATTGTGCATTTGGGCACTGAAGGGAAATGTATGTCTTTTAGGTCTGTCATTTTGTTTTCCCCACTCCATTTTGTACTAACATGTTGATTAATTGTTTTGTATTATACCCAGAATGAGTTAATGAAAATATGCTGTGTCAGTTATGTGTTACAGAACTGTACTCACAATATTCTTCTATTTTTTATCTTAGCTTAGCTTTGGTAGAGACGGAGATAGTATCCAATTATTTCTTTATACTAACAGCACCTGTTTCTGTTATGATATAATTAAAAGTCAAATATTTCTGTCCCATGGGAAAATAATTGTTGAATACTTGTAACTGATTTCAAGGCCTGAGAAAGTCATGTTTACAGCCTTGACAAGTATCTAGCGAGATTCTATTGTATATAGTAGATAAGTGTTTTAAAACAATGTAGAAACTTTCCTTATTCCTGGGAAAGTGAAACTCCACTTCTCATCACTTTTCAGAATTGACATCAATGTTGTCTTTTTGTATTCAGCCAATCAATTACTGACAACTCAGCTGTTTGATACTCTGTACCCCCCACCTTTCTTTTTTCTGTTATATTAATTTTCTTCCCGCTAATAAACTTGAGGGATTGATTTCACCTATCACTGTGTGTATGTCTGTTGTTTCTGAGATGAAGTCAGTCCTCCGGACGCGTCCGTACCTTCAACAGGCATGATAAAGACAGATAGCCAGGGGCTAGCGACAACCTTTCAGGCACCACAAATGGCAGTGCTGCCAGTATATTATTTCTCCACCAGGATTAGCAATATTATGTATATACATGAAAGCTAGAATGGAACTGGATCGCTCTTTATTCACAATCTAGCCCCTAGATTTAACATGGATGGATGACCTTCTTCATGATGTGGACTGCTACAATGTTACCTACTGTGGATCCAGGCGAAAGGTCAAGGGAGTAACATATAATATATTTTACCACTGATCAGTGAAATCTTAATCTTTATTCTGTTTCATGTTTTCTTAAATTTAAAGTAGGAACACAGAAAAAATAGAAAAACCAACAGCACTCATTGTACTTCATCTAGTAGGCACCTCCAGGTTCACTGCAAATACCCAACCAGCTTGCGTGCTGTGAGGGAAAATGGAACAGCCATTTTATATATTAAACATTTTAGTTTTGATTAAGTGGATATATATTGAATGTATATTTTGTTATTATAAGTCTTTTTGTGTAACAGATGTATTTCTTGTGTTAGAATGCTATGCACACCTCCAGCTGGGAAGATTGCTATCTAAAGGAACTAGTGGATGTAACATGCTTGTGTGAATGGCCATTTACATTTCAAAGAACTCCACCAGAAACCAGAATGTAACTTCAAAGCAGTCAGCTAGATTCCCACCCATTTTAGGACATATAAATTGTATTAGCTTTCCAAGGCAGTTTAGAGCATTACTTTGAATCCACACCATGTATTTGTTTTGCTCTCGCTGTATGTAGTTCTAGCTACATGCTTGTATAATAAACATCTACTTTTCAATCTGGCTTCAGCAGTCAAAATGTTACTGCAACCCATGAGTTTTGGGTTTCGCCGTCAGTGCCCTTTCCTTCCTCTTGCACCTTACAGTTGTCCAATCATTTTGATAGATGCCTTGCTAATCAATAGTATGGTTTGTCCAGTGAAAAGAATTTGACAACTATGATCAACATGTATAAATACATCAGGGTTCATATAGTGAACTTGGTGTAGAGTTATTCACCCTGAGGTCATCACAGAGGACAAGGGGGCACTCTTTACGTCTGGAGGAAAAGAAATGTAATCTCCAAATACGGGAAGGTTTCTTCACAGTGAGAGCTGTGAAAATGTGGAAAGAACTCCCTCAAGAGTTGGTTCTGGCCAGCTCAGTGGATTGTTTCAAAAAAGGCCTAGATTTTTTCTTAGATACACAGAATATAACTGGATACTAACATTTATAGGTAAAGTTGATCCAGGGAATATCCGATTGTCTCTCGGGGGATCAGGAAGGAATTTTTTTCCCTGCAGGAGCAAACTGGATCATGCTTTGCTGGATTTATATTTGCCTTCCTCTGGATCAACTGTCGGTGTAGGATTATTACTTTTTTTTATGGCTGAACTGGATGGACTTTTGTCTTTTTCTCAACCAGACTATGTAACTATGTAACTTCTAGCTGCTGCTGCGAGAGAGTAGAGATTAGACCCTTAAAGTGTTACTAAACCCACAACAGTAAAATCAGTCTGTATGTGCAGTAAACCATGCTTGTTATACTTATGTAGAACTTAAGGGGTTAATCCTCTGCATTGTGTAAAAAGGATGTTTGATCCTGTCTTCTCTGATCCTCCCCTTCTTCCACATTGCCCATCTTATCTCCTGATAGAACACAGCCTTAGGGACACACTGCACATGCTCAGTTTGGTGTATACTGCTAGATAGTGTTTTCTTTTTCTTGGGAGGGTGCATGTGATCAGCACAGGACCAATCAACACTGTTCAGACAGAGGGTCAGGGGTTATGCAATCTCAGAGGGCAGTGAGAGGAGAATGAAAACTCCTTCCACACGCTTTAACTAGTGCTCTGCTGGACACTGATAGAAGCCAGAAGACTGCTCTAACTGCTGATGAGAAAAGGTATTTAGCAGTTTATATTTACTGAAATAATTACATTTCCATGTTCTGTGTACTATGGGAGTCTGGATAGAGTGAATGCAGGGTAATACTCTAAAGTATATCTAAACCCATAAACAAAATGTAATATATTGCAGCTCACCAGTCCTTAGATGTGATGACTGCATTAGTTATTGTTTTTCATTTTCACCTGGTAATTCTGCCAGTAATAGACTTCCAGTCCTAGGATGACAACACTCACTCACCCTACTGTAACAGAACAACAGAACCTGAATAGCACTTTTTGGAATGCCCCATCCTTTTATACATGGCATAGATTGGCATGGTTCTAAAGTCCTCAAACCAATATAACTGATAACAGTGCAGTATAGACAGAGAGCACAGGAGGTTATCAGCTGACAAAAGTTTAGGCAGGATTACTTTTTTTTTTTGGGGGGGGGGGTGTTTACCAGAGATAATACAAGGCTTTCAATGGTGCATTTAACAGACCAAAGGGAACATATATAAAAAGTTCATTCACAGCAAAATGGATGGCACATCCCTGCACTCTGTTAATATACACCACAGTCATCAATACGAGATTTGACCATTTAATTCCCGGAATGCCCGCACCGCAGCACCATGGTGGTTAGTCACACAGTTGTTCGCACTCAAGTGTTTTCTGTCATGTTCTAACTTGCACTCTCTTGGGTCCCTGATTGAGTAGTAGAAGAAATAACATAAGTGTATGTGGCCCTGTTAATGGAAAATCAGTGACAGGAACCTGGGTCAGATGATTAACATTATATTTTGCATGAAAATTGGCCAAAGTGTAAGTGAAACTTTACACCAGGCTTATGGTGAACATTCCATGAAGAAATTAAGTGTTTTTGAATGGCATAAACGGTTTAAGGTGGATGACGGGAAGATGTCCACAATGACGCAAGAAGTGGGCAGCCAAAAATGCAAAAGTTGTATGCAAATGTGGAAAGAGTGCAAACCCTCATGCGCTCAGATTGAAGCTTGAGTGACCGAATGATGGCAGAAGAATTGAACATGAACAGGGAAACAGTGTGATTCTAAGGGAGGATTGGGAATGAAAAACATTTCTGCAAAGATGGTGCCTTGAACTTGACAGAAAATCAGAAAGAATACCATCTTAAAATAGAATTCAAAGGTGTTTGATAGGGTCATTACTGGTAATTAAAAATGTTTTTTCTAGGATGATCTAGAAACAAAATGCTAGAGCATGCAGTGGAAAACAAAGAATTCAACTTGTCCAAAGAACATATGCATATCTCATTCGCAGGTTAAAACCATGCTAGTGTGGGTTTTTTTGATCACAAGGGGATAGTTCACTAGGAGTTCTTCAGATATCATACAATGGGTCAACCAACATTTTTACTTGGAAACTCTGAAAAGGTTACAGGAATCTGTTTGGAGGAAAATGCAGGAACTCTGGCTTGACAAGTGGATTCTCCACCACGACAATGCTCCTGCACATGATGTGTTAAGTTGTTTGTGAGTTCCTGCCCCAAAAATCCATTCCAAAACTTTGCCACCACCTTATTCCTTTGATTTAGCACTCTGCGACTTTTGACGGTTTCCAAAATTTAAAAAAAATTTCCTTGAAAGGACACAGATTTGATGACATCCAGCATGTTGTGACAAGGATACTGCACAGCATCCAAAAAAACTAATTTCAAGAACATTTCCAGCTGTGGTACAGTAATCTAGAAAAGTGCATTGCAATGGGACTACTTTGACTGTGAAAACAGCCGCTAGTGTATAAGCAAATTTTCTTTTTTACAGTCTACCCCCAGATTTAAATTGTCACTCGTATTTCAAATGGCCTCAGCCTGATCTCCACCCATGGGAGAACCCCCCTCTAATGTGTTTCACCCTATTAACCTCCCTGGAGGTATTCCCGAGTGTAGCTCGGGGTAAAGTTTCAGCACCACAAGCGGTAACCCCGAGCTACACGCGGGAATACCTTGCAGTGTTGCTCCAGGATCCCTTCTGCACTTACCTTGTCCTGCGCTCCCACGATGTCCCTCCTGCAGTGTTCCTGGCCATGTCCTCTGGCCGATGCTAGCATCTGTCTTCCGGGTTCCGTTCCCTGCAATGTCAGGACGTACGGGGGACGGAACGACGGGAAATTTAAAAATGCCAAAAAGTGACATTAACTAAGTACACTAAAATCACATAGTAAAACATTACTGTATCAAAGCATTTCACATACATTTCAAATAAAAAAAAGAAAGAAAGAAAGAAAGAAAGAAATGTGTGTGTGTAAGAAAACAAAATTAAATTCAAACATCTCCACAGATGCAGAACATACTGTACATATATTTGTCCTGGACTGCAAGATGACACAGTCCAAAACACATCAATTGAATGCTTGATCTAAGCCACAGACCAATAAAAAGAAAAAATACAAACCAAAAAATACGCTCAGGGTTCATGTACACTGCAGCTGATAAACTCACGTTTAGGAGCTTTTCTGCGTTTTTTTTCAGCAGCCCTGAACTCTCCTTAATGTTTTTCTATGTGTCCATGTACACTATGTCGTTTGCAGTCATTTACAGTCGCTTACAGGCAGTTAAGTTTACAGTTGTTTTTCTGAACGTACCAAACAGGTGTCAAAACGCCAAACGCTTGTAAACGCGGCTAACCGCATTTACAAGCATTTGTGTTTAGAAGCATTTTTTAACTGTTCCATATCCAAATGCTGTCCAGAGTCTTTTTTCATCATCAGAAATTCATGCAAAGCGTTTTCCATGTATTCAAATGGACCTAGCACAGTCAGTTCCAGGTTTCGCGTGAAGGAAAAAAATGGTAGAACATGCTGCATTATGCTCATGATGGGATCCATGCTGAATACAACCAGAAAAGACAGGTAATCTCAACACATACTGCTCTCTCTGCTTCTGCTCTCTCTAGTTCTCTCAAAATGTCTGAAATAGTTAATTATTTATTATTTTTCAGTGCATTCTGGGCATTTGGGAGAGGCTCCTTAGGTTATCTTTTAAAAACACTTCTAAACACAAACGCTGTATGCAAATGCAGCTAAACTGACGTTATTTAACCTATGTTTTCTAGCAGTCAGTTTCCAGCTGTCGGAGGAGTTTTCCAAACGCCCCGTGTACATGAGCCCTAACGCATTTTGTGATCATGCATATACATATCAAATAATATACTATACTGAAGAAAAAAAGAAAAACAGAAATGTGTGTGTGTAAAATAAAAAATTAAATTCAAACATCTCCACAGATGCAGAACATACATATATCTGTCTTGGATTGCAAGATGACAAAGTCCAAAACACATCAATCGAATGCTTGATACCCGTTACATACCCACACCCCTTTCTGTAAGCCGGCCCTTGAGCTTTCTTACTAAAGTATACAGTCCTTGTTCACTACCAACTTAAGTAATCATCTTAATAGCACTAGCCTAAAAGTTGTCCTTTAGGTTCTCCATGATGAAAGAATAACATACTTCTCCAAACATTGGACCACCATTAGAATTGTAAAGTAGGATAATTAAAACATTGTTGAAATTTGTTGATGATCTTAAAAAATAACACATAATCATGTCCGTTGCAGACCTACAAACATAAATTTATGTAAGGCTTAATTAACTTTAAGAATGTGTCATTAATCTTCTCTCTTTTCACCACATGATCATATTTTTTGTCACAAACTGAGGGGAAAAGAAAGCCAGGAATAAATGTACTCAAGTTAATTACAAATTCACATCTCATAGCTCATTACTTAAAAGTTATTTAACATCCATGCCATAAACGAATAATAATATTTTAGGAACTGTGTCACTAAGCAAAACAATAGTGTGATTAGGCTCCCCAAAAAACATCTGCTCTGTTTCTTGAAGGAAAAGTCAATTTTCGTCTAAAAACAGAGGTAACCTACATAATTATTAAATAAGCCATCTTGTCATTTAGTGTTATTAAAGAATACCTTTTCGTGTTTATATTTTATTGTCAGTGCAATTCAGATGTCATTTCATTGCTATATGGCAACTATTGGTGTACAGAATGTTACTGAAATCTATCCTGCTTGTGTTACTGGCTGACTTTTTCAGATGTACAGTATGCAATGAGATTCAAGTGTCAGTTCAAGAATCCTCTGCACGGAAAGATGATTTGTGATGAGATGCTTTAAAAAGATCATCCATTACTATGCTAAAAGGAGGAATTTGACTACTGAATTAAAGTGATACTAAACATGTCTCTACTTACCTGCTCTATGCAGTGGTTTTGCACAATGAGATTAAACAATTATGCTTAACAGACCAGAATATACTCTTCACAGAAAACAAAGGAAGTCCCATCGCCAAAACAAAAAGTCCCCTTGTTTGTTGCTCAAACATTCATAAAATTTATATCTATCTATATATATATATCTATCTATATATATCTATATATATAGATATATATAGATATATATCTATATATATAGATAGATATATATATTTTATATATATATATATATATATATTTATATATATATATATACATACATACATACACACACTATCACACTATATTGCCAAAAATGTTGGATTCAGGTGTTCCAATCACCTTCATAGCCACAGGTGTATAAAATCAAGCACCTAGGCATGCAGACTACTTCTACAAACATTTGTGAAAGAATGGGTCACGCTCAGGAGCTCAGTGAATTCAAGCTTGGTACCATGACAGGTTGCCACCTGTGCAATAAGTCCATCCGTGAAATTTCCTTGCTGCTAAATATTCCACAGTCAACTGTTAGTGATATTTAACAAAATGGAAAAAAAACTGGGAACAACAGCAACTCAGCCATGAAGTGGTAGGTCATATAGAATGACAGAGCGGGGTCAGTTCATGCTGAAGCCCACAGTATGCAAAAGCTGCCAAATGTCTGCAGAGTCAATAGCTAAAGACCTCCAAACTTCCTGTGGCCTTCAGATTAGCACAACAGTGCGTAGAGAACATCATAGAATGGGTTTCCATGGCCCGAGCAGCTGCATCCAAGCCTTCCATCACCAAGTGCAATGCAAAGCGTCAGATGCAGTAGTGTAAAGCACGCCGGCACTGGACTCTAGAGCAGTGGAGATGTGTTCTCTAGAGTGATGAATCACGTTTCTCTGTCTGGCAATCCGATGGACGTGTCTGGGTTTGGCTGTTGCCAGGAGAACGGTACTTGCCTGACTGCATTGTGCCAAGTGTAAAGTTTGGTGGAGGGGGGATTATGGTGTGGGGTTGTTTTTCAGGAGCTGGGCTTGGCTCCTTAGTTCCAGTGAAGGGAGCTCTTAAGGTGTCAGCATACCAAGACATTTTGGACAATTTCATGCTCCCAACTTTGTGGGAACAGTTTGGGGATGGCTCCTTCCTGTTCCACCTCAACTGTGCACCTGTACACAAAGCAAGGTCCATAAAGACATGGATGAGCGGAGTTTGGGATGGAGGAACTTGACTGTCCTGCACAGAGTCCTGACCTCAACCCAATAGAACACCTTTGGGATGAATTAGAGCAGAGACTGTGAGACAGGCCTTCTCGTCCAACATCAGTGCCTGACCTCACAAATGCGCTTCTGAAAGAATGGTCTAACATTCCCATAGACACTCTCCTAAACCTTGTGGACAGCCTTTCCAGAAGAGTTGAAGCTGTTATAGCTGCAAAGGGTGGGCCAACTCAATACTGAACCCTACGGACTAAGACTGGTTTGCCATTAAAGTTCATGTGTGTGTAAAGGCAGGCGTCCCAATACTTTTGGCAATATAGTGTATATACAGTATATATATATATATATATATATATATATAGAGAGAGAGAGAGAGAGAGAGAGAGAGAGAGAGAGAGATACTGTATATATATTTTCTTTAATGCTAGTGTCTTCTATATCACACTTGTGCAGCACCTCCACCAACACCAGATCTGCTCTCACCTGTAGCTTTTGACCTTACATAGAATGCTAGGTCAGAAAGCACTTGTGTCCCTTTAATTGGATTTTATAGTGTAGCTTCCTCATGTCCACTCCTGGGAAAAGATCAACTTCTTATATATAGTTCAACTCCTCCACTCAGATTTTCGTCCTGCTTGCTCCTCCGTTCAGTATAAAAAGCAAATAGGCAAAAGATAGTGCTTACAGCGGAGTTCCAGCTGAAAAAAAAAATAAATAAAAGACTGACTTTTAGAATACAGCCACTTACCTGTCCCTCGGTCCAGCGGTGTCCTCACCACCGCTGGTTTCACCGGCCATCTTCTCTCCCTGGCATCTTTAGTGTGGGCACCCGGCTGTGAAAGCTTGCGGCTTCACAGCTGGGTAACCACTGCGCATGCACGAGAAACGCTGCACTTCGTGAATGGTCCTTTAGTCTTCTGGGACCTATCACTTGTCCCAGAAGACTACAGGGAGGGAGGGGGGGGAGAACAACTTCTGCTTCCGGTCTCCTAGGTGATCGCAGCGGAAGTGGGAGCGGGTACCTGTGAAATCCTTAATGGGGAGCAAAGGTGCCAATCCTTAATATGGAGCAGGGGACAAAGCATTAAAGCAGGACTTCCCCTTTTGGGTGGAGCTCCGCTTTAAGTCCCTGGTCACACTGGATGCGAATTGGCATGCGATTTGCATGTCATGCAGCTTGGAAATCACATGCCAAGTCGCACCCTATTGTCCACAAATTAGAGTGGTCATATCGGTGCGGTTCTGACTTGGTCGGAGCCGCACAGATTTCTAAAGTAGTGCATTCACTACTTTTGGTGCAATTTGCATAGACATCTGTGTCAAATGTCTTGAAAATCACACCTGAAATCGGCATGTCACCCCACTTTGAAATGTCGGGTTTGATGTGACAGAGGAGTTATTCTCAAAACTCTTATTTCCTCATAAGTTCCAAGGAGCAGGGCCCTCCTTTCCCTCTTGTATTGAACTGTATTGTTGCTGTATTGTCTCCCATTATATTGTAAAGCACTGAGCAAACTGTTGGCGCTATATAAATCCTGTATAATAATATACAGTATACCAGTTCAGAAAACCACTCACATAGCAGCAAGTAGTTATTGGAGTGAGCCAAGTCTCTTTAGCTGTAGTAGTAGTAACAGGGTTGATCTCCTCAGGTACAGGCCCATTACGGTAGACTGCGACAGTCTAGAAGCAATAGCAACTTAGCAGAGTCCTTTGTGATCAATTGGACAAGCTCTTCAGAACACTAGCCAGTTCCCTTTCTCAGACCCACGCTGACTATCATGCACCAGAGGGGTAGCAAAGTCCCCAAGATCTCTTAGTGTCTGTACTCACAAGTTCAAGGACAGACTGGTTACTTCCTTCCAATCGACTCTCTTCAGTGATACCAGACAGATCTTTGGCAGACAGCTCTCCTCAGTCAGCTTACTGTAAAACCAGGTCACTTTCTCTAACTTCAGGCCCTCGGGTCGACCCGCATGAGACCACATGACAGCAAGTGCCAGGAGAGGCAACCTGCCTCTACTCCTGGAAAAGGCCCAGAGCCCATGTGCTCACAGAACCTAAAATACCACTCCCAGCATGCAATGGGGTCACCCTCCCCTGAAATTGGCCAGGGCTGTATCCACATTCATGCTGTTGATTTGTCTAGCCCCTACCCATGTTCTGGAAGGCTCGCATTGCTTCCTGAAGGCAGGCAGAGCTCAGACAAACTCAAACAGCACCAGAGCAGCATGAGCAGACTTAACTGATCAATAACAGCACTCTGTTTAGCAGAACACCACACTGAATTTCCCTGACAGCCTCTCTGGTAAGCAGAGAAACACAGGTATGCTTAACCTAACTATACAAATCCTAGCACCTGACCAGGAGGGTGCTACACTCACCTGCCACCAATACTAGGCCATGACCTCATTGGCCTGGGCAGCTGCCCCTACAAAAAACTTTGTACAAAAATCTAAGTGGAGTGTCCCATAAACTTGATGGGGAAAAGGGAAGTAACATATGTACAAACCCGATAAGGGCAAATAAATTAGCAGTGCAAAAATAAAGTATCTGCTGTACAAGTATTTACACAGGTTCAAACATGTTCACACTTTTTTTAGGTAGAGCTCTACCAAGTGCAGCTTTTATGTGCGCCCCCCGCCAAAAAAGGAAGTAATTGGTCGGGTGAAATAAACACATACCTAACTACACTCTAAACTATCTAATACATTTTTTGACAGTATCAGTAATGTACAATATATTACAGTGAAGGGCCTCAGCTGAGGCAGAGTAGTTCCTTGTAGTTATGCAGGAAGAGAAAAGAGAACAGATATGCACACATTACACATCCTAGTCTACAAGCTAAGTGTGGGAACATCCTCTCCTGAAAAGGCAATGCTCCCATAGAAAGGCAACTATCAAATCTGCTCTAACATGCTCTAACATTCTTGTAGCAGACAGTTCCAATTATAGCCCCCTAAGGGTAACTCTTGACACATCATCTCTCAGAGCCCAGAAAAAAAAGAAAACAGAGGTAGACATCCTGACTAATCTGGCTACATAAGCATGCCATGAAAAATAAACTCATCAAACTTTAAAGACCTTTTTTTTTTTAGGACTAGGCTCTGTTAACCAAAGTCCATGGCCCTCACACAGAGGATTGGGAGCTGAGGTCTCCCAGCATGCAGCACACCTTTTCTTGCAGTACCAGGAATAAGCTGTCCATACAGCAGTAAGAACTCAGCAAGGGATTCTTTCCTCACTGGGCACAATTACTTCACAGCGAAGATCTTCGCAAAGTGTCCATAACAAGAATCTAAACAAAGCGCCCTTTCAAAAGAAGAGTTTGGCAAGGGATCCTTCCCCCGCTGTATGAAAGTGATTTTCTGTAGGAGTCTCTGTTGATGAGCCATCACCTGCCCCTAAGGCAACAGCTAAGAAGACATCTCTTAAAGATGAACAGAGGCTGCCCCCTGCTCTGGGCAACAATTTCCTTTGTGCACAACTTCTTGCGGCAAGCCATTGCCTGCTGCTATGGCAACGACTCGCTCAAACTCACTTTAGCATGGCATGTCCAGGCATGAGCCAAAGTGCCCTTCCTTTTTGTCACAGGAAGGTAAAGGAAGGGATTTAAAACTAGGGTGTTATCCCTTTTAAGGTGCAGTTTAGTTACCACTTGAGCTTGAATCTTAAACAACTGGAGTGCTTTCAATAAACAGTCTTTTCTTCTGCACTTGAGTAGAACAGAAGTGAGCAGCTGCCCTTTCACCACAATAGCAGCCCACATAGACTTGACTGGAGGAAAAACAGAGAGTTCTCTGAGCATCAGGGTTTTATCCCCTCCAGGTTGTAGTCCTGGGTGTTGGATAGGAGAAGTCCTCATACTAAAAGTAATTTTCTCCTGGAAATAGCAACAATCCCCAGATGCACCCCTCTTCAATTTGTAAATTTGCAAGAATAGAAGTGGAAGGGGAACTTGAGAACAGAGGGTTTGCCCTATAGCAACAACTATGATACTTTAATAACAGAGAAACTTCAATCAGGTGCCTCTTGACACAATGATTGCAAGAACTTTAACTACAAGTCCCGTCAAGAACAAATTACATCTTCAGCAGTAGAAGTCAGGGTGTGGAATCTGGACCATCTTTCCATCAGGGATCCAGACATACACAGACCACACTTGATCCTCATGTTTTGCTTTCCTGAGGACCACGTGGTCAAGATAGATGAAGTGACCTTCACTCCACTCAACCTTGAGGCACTGAAACTTTTCCCAGAAAGGGGCATACTGAGGGTTATGGCAGTGTTTTGGCACAAGTAGGATGTCCCAGATATATTCCTCACCCCATTGCTCTCTCAGGACCTCTACCTCTTCCATCACCTGGCAAGGCACATAAGGTACTCATACACATATTCCAAAGCTACTTTCTTCTGCAGGATGCGCTATAGCCACGAAAGCCCTGGCAATTCCTGTGGGTTCCCCTTCCCCGGTGGGACACAAGAATCAGGGGCCTTTTTGAAAAGCTCCTTTTGAGCCAAATCATGAGCAAGGACATGTGCCTCAAAGTC